ATGTTACTGCCGGCTATACCACAAACTGCTCGAGCAAGTTCAGCGTGTGTCGTGAATCATATATTATATATTACTCCAATAGCTAACTTAGATCGCCGCCAGTGAATCCAAATCATAAAACAGATGAATCGCTACGTCGCCGGTTGCCAACCTTCGCTGTTTCATCGACGGCCATTTGAAGATGCTGCTGCCTGCTGCTGCTTGCTGCTGTACTGACTGATAATGATGCTGTTGCTGTGCTGGTACTGACTGCTTGGTGCTGCTGCTACTGCTTGAATAATGATGCTGTTGCTGCCTGCTGGTACTACTGCTGCGGCCTGCTGTTTGCTACTGCTAGTAATGATGCTGTTGCTGACTGCTGGTTAACTGCTGCCTGCGGCCCGACTGCTGCTACGGTGATAATGATGTGCTGTACTGCTGCCCTGTGCGTGGATTTACTGCTGCTGCTGCCCTGCTGCTCGCCTGCTGCTGTCTTGCTGACTGCTGCTGCTGTCTGCCTTGCTGGCGGCTCTTGCTGCTCACTGCTCTGCTGGTACTTTGCTGCTTTCGCTCTCGGTGGCTGGTATAGACTGCTGTGCTGGCTAGCTACTTGCTGAAATGATGATGCTGCGCTGCCCTGCTGTACTGCCCGGACACTGCTTGCTACTGCTACTAATGCTGTGCTCACTGTACTATGTGATGCAGCTGCTGCCTGTTGCTGATAATAAAAGATACGAAAAATGATGCTACGGCTGCTTGCTGCCCTGCTCACTACTGCTGCTGTTGCCTGCTGCTGCTTACTGTGCTGCTGCTGCTGTGCCTGCTGGCTAGTTGCTGCATGCTGGCTGCTGCTGCCTGGACTAATGATAGCTGTTGGCTGACAGTGGTACTGAAAGCTATTTACTGCTGCTGGTGCTGCTATGTATATGCTTGCACTGTTGCCCTGGCTGCCTGCTCACTTACTGCGCTACTGCTGCTATGCTTGTCTCTGCTGCTGCCTGTGCTGTGCTGCTGTGTTCTCTACTACTGTGCTGCTGCTGATCAAATCGATTGCTGCTGCTGCCTGTGCTTGCTGCTGCTACTTACTTACTTGCTGCTGCTGCTGCTATCCTGCTACTGTTACTGCTGTGCTGCTGCTGATGATGATTTATATTATCACAAAGATGCTATTATTATTGAATTATATAGAACTTATCACATTTTACAGCTGTTCCTGGAACGGCACTCGTACGGCACGGCTACCACTAGCGACCTTTGGGACGCCTTACAAGAGGTACGATGAAAACATTCAATACACACATAAGAGCTAGACCTTCTGTATATAAGGTCTCTGTAGGTCTAGTATATAAGGTCTCTGTGAGGTCTGTGTATATCAATGCGTCTCTGTAAGTCTTGCTTATATAAGGTCTCCTCGTAGGTCTTAGTATATCAAGGTCTCTGTAGTTCTTGCATGTATAAGCGTCTCTGTGGTCTTGTATATAAAGGTCTCTGTACTTAGGTCTTGTATATAAGGTCTCTGTAGGTCTTGTATATAAGGTCTCCGTAGGTCATGTGTATAAGGTCTCTGTAGGTCTTGTATATAAGGTCTGCGTAGGTCTTGTATATTAAGTGCTCTCGTAGGTCTTGTATATAGGTCTTCTGTAGGTCTTGTACATAAGGTCTCTGTAGGTCTTGTTATTATAAGGTCTCTGTAGGTTTCTTGTAATATAGGTCTCTGTAGGTCTTGTATATAAGGTCTCTGTAGGTCTTGTATATAAGGTCTCTGTAGGTCTTGTATATAAGGTCTCTGTAGGTCTTGTATATAAGGTCTCTGTAGGTCTGTATATAAGGTCTCTGTAGGTCTTGTGTATAATGTGGTCTCTGTAGCGTTTTCTGTATCATAAGGTCTCTGTATGCGTCTTGTTATAAGGTCTCTGATAGCGTCTTGGGTATATAAGAGTCCGTTAGGTCATGGTGGGTATAAGGTCTCTGTAGGTCTTGGGTAGATAAGGTCTGCGTAGGTCTTGTAGGTATAGGCTCTCTGTAGGTTCTTGCTATATAAAGGTCTCTGTAGGTTTGCATACATAGGTCTCTGTAGGCTTGTATATAAGGTCTCTGTAGGTCTTGTATATAAGGTCTCTGAGGTCTTGTATATAAGGTCTCTGTAGGTCTTGTATATAAGGTCTCTGTAGGTTCTTTAACATATAGGTCTTCTGTACGGTCTTGTAATATAAGCGTCTCTGTAGGTCTTGTATATAATGCGTTCTCTGTAGGTCTTGTATATAAGGTCTCTGTAGGTCTTGTATATAAGGTCTCTGTAGGTCATGTGTATAAGGTCTCTGTAGGTCTTGTATATAAGGTCTCTGTAGGTCTTGTATATAAGGTCTGCGTAGGTCTTGTATATAAGGTCTCTGTAGGTCTTGTATATAAGGTCTCTGTAGGTCTTGTATATAAGGTCTCCTGTGAGGCTCTTGTATATAAGGTCTCTAGGTCTTGTATAGGATGAGTCTTCTGTTAGCGTTTGTATATATAGGGTCTCTGTAGGTCTTGTATAGAAGGTCTCTGAGAACCCACAGAGCGCTGATCTAAACTTGTCTGCTAACTTAACCATTTACTCATACCTAGGGCATGATCATGAATACCAATAGCCCTGTTGATATTGGTAATTGATTATCATATGTTTTATGTGTGAATATGATATAATACTGTGTGAAAATGATATTGAAGAATGTTGACAAATGTTGACGATGTTGACGATTTTGGTGAATGACAAATGTACAATCCTGGCAAAAGCAGATTGATTGTCGAGGAATCGCTATACTATGATATTAATGAATGTTGATAAATACTGCCGATAAATACACGACGGATATTCCCGTCAAATTCCGAAAAAATCCGTAAATTGTATTTCTATTATCAGCAATCGCTACTAGATGGCAGCAGCGCAGACATGCTCGACGGGCAGCACATACAGACCATCATGAACACGTGGACACTACAGAATGGCTACCCCGTCATAACGGTGACGAGGGACTACGTGAACGGTGGCGCCACCGTCAGCCAGCAGCGATTTCTTCGCGACAGCAGTCCAACCAGGCATCTTACCAGGAACTACAAGTACGCGAACTCCCTTATACCCGTCTGTCTTGCTGTGTGGCTTGATCATAGACCCTTATACCTACTATATATATAATAAATAATAATATATATATATATATATATATATATATATATACATACATATATATGGAGGGGTAATATAAAGGGTATATGTACCTTTAAATGGGAGGCATCATAAATTTGCGCCCATAGTGCGCATGTCATTCGCTACACGTTTTTATTCATTGCTATAATCAAATAATGATGTGTTTGTCTCATTATCGATGATATAGTCAGAGCTACGAGTTGGCGCTTGAATGGGTTACAGCCGACCGGGATAGCTGGACATCTCCAGAAAGACTGTGGATGCACGGGGATGCAGAAGGTGAGTAGGAGCGGCCAGGAGGGTCAGCTTCCGATTGTAGAATGCAATTATAACAAGAGCAATCGGAGATAGCAAACCTCCACCACAGCTTAACAGTCCCCCAATATATCTATATATAGCTATCGATCTAATTTGTAGTTGGGTTTAACTCGGCCGTGACACATCATAAACCCCTACAGAGAGAGAAAGCGAAAGCGAAATGAAGCGAAGCGGTTAGAGAGTAAACCGCTACACTACCATCAATGATGAGAAATCCTTCAAGAAATTCCTGGATCCAGATCTGGATCCGGATCACCACCAAAATCTAATCGATTGGTTCTTGGCTCAAGACCAACCCGTCCAAAACCTTTCATCAAAATCCGTCTGTAACTTTTTGAGATATCTTGTTGACAGACAACCAAACCAACAAACCAACAAACAAACCAACAGGGGGGAAAACATAACCTCCTTAGCGGAGGTAATTAGTTTTGCATGATCACCAATCCTTTTATACAAGTCGGTTGTCAAACCAGCTCGTCGCAATGTATGGTGCTACATTAGTCTATGATTATTATTATTCTTTATATTTATATTATTTATATTATAATGATTATATCAGATTAGTCTATATAGTTGGTTATAATGATCTTCTGATGCAATATAATATTCTTATTAAATACAACCATTGATGAGGTTGTAGATCTGACATTCCACGTCCGCGACCTCTTCTTGAGCTCTTATGCATCTCTCGCTCTTACTACCCCCCTCTCTCTCTCTCTCTCTCTCTCTCTCTCTCTCTCTCTCTGGCTCTCTCACTCTCTCTTACTACCCCCCTCTCTCTCTCTCTGCCCTCCTCTCTCTCTCGCTCTCTCCTGCGTCGCTATCGCAGCTGCAGACTCCGCATATATACGTCGCTGCAGCTGCGAGCGTTGCTTCGTCAGCAGCCTAGCGGCGGCCACCGTGTCGTGTGAAGCCAGCAAAGCTAGCTCTCCCTCCCCAGCCAGCCAGCCCTCCCTCCTCACACCAGGCTGCGTGTGCTATTTCGCACGTCGCCCGCGGGGGGGGACGGGTCACGCCGGGGCTTCCTCTCTGTTGCTTGGCTCGAGCTCTCCCGTTTCCAAAGAGATTTACCGACTTAAATGTCGCTACGGACGGCCTGGCCAGTCGACATGTGCGCCTCTATGCGCGTTCGGCGTCGGTCTGTCGGTGCTGTGGTTATGACGATAATGCGATTACCGGAAGAATCCGAGTAGGAGGAGGGTCTTGCGGTGGAGGGGGGACTATAATTGATGGCACCACCAAGATGGCCTCGCGGCACGGCCGAGTTTATTAAACCGTAGATGGCGGCGAAGATTGATAAATTATTCATAGACATCACCACTGGGGTTCCGGTTCATGATGTCGTTGGCGAAGTAATAATTCACGCTCAACCGATCACCATCGCGTCACGCACCCGACCATCGTCCGCACCGAATCGCACCGTCCCGCACCCGACACCGCCACGCACGCCGACCCCCGACCGCACCCGACCGACCCACACCGTCCGCACCCGACACCGTCCGCACCCGATCACGCATGCCGTTCACGAGCACCCGACCACGTCCGCACGCCGACCACCGACCGCAGCCGAATCACCATCCGTTCACGCGACAGCCACCACCGTCCGCGACCCTGAACCACACCGTCACCACCCGACGCACTGACCGACCACCGTCCCGCACCCGACGCGCACACCGATCGTTTCGACCACCGTGCCGCACCCGACCACCGACCGCTATACCCGCACACCATCCGTTCACAGTAGAAGGCACCTTGCCGCACGCCACCGACCGC